GAAAAGTCCGAAAACATGGCAATTTCCCGGGGTCTTGAAAACTCAAGACCACATCTTTTATTTTTAGCTTAAGTAACTAGAAATTTTGTTGCAAATGCCGATTTAAATTTGTCCGACAGAAATTCCTCCGACATTGACGTGTCTACCGGTCGAAACATGCCAAAATAACAGGGTATTGAAAATCAATTACCACATAGGTAATTTTTAGTAAAATTAATTGTAAATAATTAATTCAGTCAAAAAGTATTGTTGTCCGACAAATTTCAAGCCGCGTTTTTTCAGTCCGACAGCTGGAAATCGGAATTTTCACGGGGTATGAAAAATCGATTACCACATGTCGGACAAAAATAACACACGATAGAAAAGTGTTTTTTATAAGCAAAAATTGTAATGTCCGACAAAAATATATCCGCAAATCGTCAGTCCGACAAAAAAAGATGAAAAAAATTTCGTAAAAAATGTGCACATGTATTTATAATTTCTAATAAGGTATTTTCATGTATTAAGCAAAATTCCATATAAATATACAATACAGGGTGTTTCAGAAAGACCTCCCGTAAATACAGGGGGTGAGGACGACAAAAAATAAGAATTTTTTGTCATATGAACTATATGTCTATCTCCTCTTCTCAAAGCTCAAGCTTACTTTGAGAAAAGTCACTTATTTTATAGTGTAATATTGTAAGAGTTTAATTAAAAGCCTTTTTTCTCGAAAATCGTCCACATTAGGAAGTTCTAACAAGAGTACATTATTTTTAGAAAATAAAATTGTACAATAGAAATTGGAGCCCGACTGGTAAAAAACCTAACCTTAAAAAAAATATAACTTAAATTGTAATAAGAATGTAGCATAACTAGCGCTCTCTATGAAATATACAAAAAATAATTAGACTAGCGTATTTGGCACCCTTAAAAACCTCGGACTACCAAATTTCATAAAAATATTTCGCACCATTTGGAAATTTTCATAAAAATGTTATTTAAAAAATTTTATTTTGTCTCTCTGTATCTCGAAAACAAGAGGAGATAGACATAGAGTTCATAAGACAAAAAATTCTCATTTTTTATCATACTATCACCCTCTTTATTTACGGGAGGTCTTTCTGAAACACCCTGTATATATTTTTCGTTTTATTCTTGTAATTGTAAATCTCTATATGCTCAATTTAGCCAAATAAATATCGAGAAAAGAATTAAACGATTTCAAAAAAGTATGTATGGTGCAAAAAAATTATGCACAAAAGTTTTGGGATTTTCTTTGAGAAAAATAGGAAAATTTTTGTAAAGAAAAATAACAGACGCGAATGAAAATTTGAAAGAGAAAAAAGGATTTTTATATCAAGTATAATATTATTTAGAAATAATGCATTATGCGCTAAGATCGTATTAATCGCCTCAAAAATAACTTCATTTGTTTATAACTTTTTAAGCATAAAATAAGCAATATTATAATTATTTATTTGAAACAAATAATAATTTACATAATAATAATTAATAACCATTTATAAATATGAAATTTTTGGAGTGAAAAAATTAAATTTCTTCACGTTTATTGATTTATTGATTTTTTAATAATTTGCGGACATTAAATCATCGGACACTTATATCACTATTTTGTACAGTAAATTTAAAAGTGGAAAAAATGAAAATTAGATATGTGGTAATCGATTTTTCATACCCCGTGAAAATTCCGATTTCCAGCTGTCGGACTGAAAAAACGCGGCTTGAAATTTGTCGGACAACAATACTTTTTGACTGAATTAATTATTTACAATTAATTTTACTAAAAATTACCTATGTGGTAATTGATTTTCAATACCCTGTTATTTTGGCATGTTTCGACCGGTAGACACGTCAATGTCGGAAGAATTTCTGTCGGACAAATTTAAATCCGCATTTGCAACAAAATTTCCAGTAACTGAAGCTAAAAATAAAAGATGTGGTGTTGACTTTTCAAAACCCCGGGAAATTGCCATGTTTTTGGACTTTTCCGTGTGGAAAAGCGGAGGAATCGAGAAAAATCGCAAAGGAATAATGTGGTAGACTCGTCAAAACGAAGCTCGTCAGGAGTTAAAGTATGTGGTAATCAACTTTCCAGAGGGGGCCTGTACTGTGGACTATTATTGTATTCCTTTCCAATAAGTTTTGTCAATTATGCAGTACCTACTAGGAATAGTAAAGTTTAAAAATTAATGATAACTCACGTTACGTTCCTTCGTCGAATGTTTGTGTCAGTGCTCCTCCTGAAAACAAAATAGAAAGATTGATTACTTCAATGTATAGGCAGTAAATTTTTATAAGTGGACAAAAATATTGCGTATTTAAAACTCTTTAATGATATACTACGCGTAATTACAAATTGGTTTTTATATACACTAAAAAAAACGCAATCATTTGTTCCGTTCGTCAGTTCATCTCACACATTAATATACGTATTATATACAGTTCCTTTATAAATGTCCGAGCCAATAAAGAACGCTGCTGACATTTGGGTGACCAAATTTTAGAAAATTTATAATGTTAAATGTATTAAACTTACCAAATTCCATAATTGACATAAACATTATGACATGGGACTTTTAATTACATCTTATATGAATTTGTGACAAGGACTTTGCTTGGTTTTAGGAGAGGCTATGTTCCCTAATGTCTCGGACAATTATGAAGAAACTGTATAAAGACTTTTAAGATACTTTGATGTAAAACGATTTTGTTGGGTTGGGGCTCTTATCGAAAGTCAAATGCATAAAACAATCCGACTCTACAGAAGCTCTACTAGCTATTTTATTAGGATAAAATTTTTATGTTCAATAAGTATACTACTACTGATACATGCGGTCGATAATGAACAATTTCGATAATTTTTTTTCCACCATCCCGCAATAAGATTTTAGCATGGTATCAACACAAGAATAAAGTTGTTATTTATTCTTGTGGTATCAGACTACTATTGCGACCAAAAAATCTACGAGAGAGCTGTCAAATTTGAATTTGTTTGAGGAGGTTTTGTACCTCCTCAAACAAATTCAAATTCTGGCCACAAATAAAATAGTTGTTGCATACTTAAATCTGTGAGTGTATTATGGACTTCTCTGTAGATAAAGCTTGAACTGAAAATATTAAAAAAGTGACAAGTGGCCAGAAAAACGACATTTCTAATATAAGTAAAGAAAAACTACGTCTAGGCCTGGGCAAAAAATCGATATATCGATTCCAATCGATTTTATTTTTGAATCGATTAATCGATTTCCAGAAAAAATCGAATTGGAATATCGAATCGAAATAACGAATCGTAATATCGAATCAGATCGAGATATCGCATCGCATCGAATTGTCGAATCGCATCGAAATGTCGAATCAAACCGGTAGTACAGTTGACGCTACCCAAATGTGAACGCATTTTGGTAGTTATGGAAATTTCATCTGAATTTTATCGTAGTAAATTAGACTTTTTTTAGTGGCGTAACACAGAGAGGGTATTCTTATGGATAAATTCGACATTGTCTTCCGCGTCACTGGAAACCTTCCCGAACTCTTACTGACATTTAAATCAGCAGCCACTTCACTCAAAGACCAATTATCTTCTAATTTAGATATAGCCCTTGCTCTATGCGCTTCAGTTAAATGCTCCGGCATATTCACGTTACATGTTTACATTTAATTACGTTTGCTCTAAATGACATATAGGGTGTCCAGAAACTCTCTGCCAAACGGAAACTACAGGTACTAGAGGTTATTTTATGTCGATTTAACTCAAATTACCTTAATCCGAAAATGCTCCCTANAAATTATTATTTAGTAATAATCATTTAATATCTTCCTTCCCTTAGAATTAAAGCAGAATGTGTGAAACGGAATTTGTGAAAGCTACTTCGCAAATTTTACCGAAAATTGATATTTTTATGATCATGAATTGAATTTTTAAAAAGAGACGACCGTTTTAATATTGGCGAAATTAGAGGTATAAAGGCAGTCAGGTAAGGACCAACATTTAATGAATGATTTTATTGTGTTTATTTAAATAAAATACTTATTTATTTAAATAAGGAATGTGCCAAAAGACATAGCAACTTATCTCAATTTGCCTCATCCGTAAACTTATACAAGGCACTGCTTTAGACGTTCTTCCGCCACTCTGATAGCCGACGCAGGGGCCGATATTACCACCATTAAACGACATGGGGGGTGTCGTTCTAATACGTTAGCGGAGACATATAGAAGATTCTATACAAAATAAAATTTCAATCGCAAATAAATTATTACCGTCTTCAGCAGAGCTACGGAACTTGCCAATAATACAAGGTGAACATAAACTTAAACAATTACAGCAGCAGCTTCATTGAACACCCAGAACTAAAAGCTACGATAACTGACAGCACTGAATCTGGCATACCTAAAACTCACTGCAATATCGGCACTTTCAATTTACATGTAGTGCAAAATAAATTGTAATCGTCCTGTGTAAAGTAGTTACTGTTTACTGTACTAGAACGAAAAAGATTTTGGTGTTCTAGAACATACTAGTTATTTATGTACCAAGGGAGATACAGGGATGATTATGCCCGCAGGTGACAAGTTACTTCCAAGGGCCGTTTAGGACCGAGGAAAGTAAGTCGCCTAAGGGCATAATCATCCTAGTATCTCCCATGGTGACCTTATAGGGCTAAGCTATCCACAAATTCAGGTTCAGCTTGTAGGAGTAAGTTATACCCGAATTCAGTTCCTTCCCCCCAAATAAACTTATATACGCACTGGTTGAAATTCAATACAAGCCTTTTCTTCAGTGTGATCTTGAAATGACCTTGAATTGACTTGAAGGTGACCTTTAGGGTTACGCTATCCCCAGATTCAGATTCTGCGAGCCCAAAAACCTATACACTCGCTGGTCAAAATTCAATACAAGTCTTTTCTTCAGTTTGACCTTGAAACGACCTTTACCTGACCTCCAGGTGATCTTAGATAGCTAAGTTAATACTAAAGTTTAAAAATTAACAATAACTCACCTTTTGTGTAGATTGTTTGTGTCAGTGCTCCTCCTGAAAGCACAAAAAGAAAGATTAATTACTTCGACGTAGACAGTAAATTTTTATAAGTAGACAAAAATATTGCATATTTAGAAGAGGCAAGCTATTTAACAGATTATAATCAGAGGAGAGAATTTCGGTAACAATACAGAACCATAATTCATAGTAAATTACCAAATTGGTATTTATATACACAAAAAAATAAATAAAACGTAATCATAATGCACTGTGTTTGGTGCATCGTTTGTCAAATTGAACTGGCCGAAACGAGAGGTGATTTGCAATCTCTCCATGAGTATTTTAATTCAACTTTTTCACTGTTTTGAACAATCCCATAATTCAGTATTTAAAGTTAAATTTAAAAAAAAAGTTATTGGCATAGTCTCTAAATTTCAATTTTTATGTTTACTGTGGTATGGTTCTATCAAATTCAAAATTACTATCAACTAACATCTAGTTGTCATTTTATTAACCCGCAAAGTTTTTGGAAAAGGTAAAAAGAAATTTAAAGCTCAACTTAACGTTGCAATAAAAAAAATAACTAAAAGCGATCGTGATCTTCGAATTCGTTTAAAGATGTCTGTAGTTTATCCCCTTTCTAACGGTATGACATAAAAACCTTTTATCAACTTCACTAATTTGAGTAATTTGCTTAATTTGTGTATGGGGACACATCAGGCTGATATTCGATATTCGGGTTCGACCTGCTACTTATGAAATACTTTTTATTCTTGGTGTATTTTATTACATTTAAATGTATAGCCATTGTGGCGCAGCGACATCTATTAAATAGTAGAATTAGAGGTTAATTTAATTGTTTTCCCATGCAGTATCCTTAATTATTTTATGGTCTGTGGTTTCCGAGTGTGTCGTTTGCTGCACCAGCTACAGATGGCGGTACTCTACCGCTGCTGCCGACAAAAGACAGAATAAAACCCTCTTATTTAGTTACTCATATGGTTTATGTGTAATCGTTAACACCAACAACGTTTTCAAAAGCTCCAACTGGAACGGAAAAGCGCAACAAATTATCTACATATGTTCCACGAAAACGATTTGCTCAATCCAGGTAAGTACTGGTGAAATAAATGAATGATGGAACATATTGTGTTCCTATCCAATAATTTCTGTCAATTATGCATTACTAGGAATACTCAAGTTTAAAAATTAACAATAACTCACCTTTTGTGTAGATTGTTTGCGTCACTGGTCCTCCTGAAAGCAAACAAAGAAAGATTGATTAATTCAATGTAGGTAGACAGTAAATTTTTATGAGTAGGCAAAAATATTGCATATTTAGAAGAGCTTGCCTTTAACGGATTATAATCAGAGGGGAGAATTACGGTAATAACATACAGGGTGTCCCAGTGTCAGCGTACAAAAATTTACCAGGGGGTAGACCAGACCAAAATAAGGCTAACATTCTTATAAAATATTTTTCTGCAATGCATTGTCACTGAATTACAGGATGTTGTTTAGAAAAAAATTATAACTTTCCGCAATAACTCAGAAACCCTTTCAGGGATTTTAATAATTTTTGGGTGAAGTGTGCATCTATATGATGCTTATTTCGATCTGACACCAGGGGCGGCCTAGGCCAACTTGTCCTCAAGGTTATGTCTTCATAACTTTTGCATATCCCAGTTCTATGTAATTTGATTAAGTTTTCCTGAATCTGCAATCGATTCTGAATAAATATGAAAAGAGTTTATTTGTTGTTATCTAGTAGTTATTACATTTTCTTCTAAAATGTGTGCATCCTCCAAATTACCTCTTATTCTGGTATTTCCAATTTGAACACTCCCGGTCTCACGGACTCTTTGGAAAACTGTCTGGAATAAGTGCTGCGAAGGTTGCCTTCTGTTTGGAAACCTGCGTAGTTATTCTCGTGAAGCCGAAAATTAATTTCCATCACAGAAACCGCAGTAAAATATCATATCGGCATATTTGTTGTTGGAAAATTCCATAATACTCAATATCTTGTTATTTTATAAATTTAATTTCTCGTAACTTCGAGTACTGTAATTAATTGAAATATGTGTCGTAAGAAGTAAATAGTGAAAACGAACTAAAAATGTCGTGCCTTATTATAAGTGTTCGTCCCTCACCGATAATATGAAAACGTCCAATTTTTGCTCGTACAAACGCACTACGAATACGCAAGTCATAGGAATAAACAAAAAACGTAATCATAATAATAAATTGACACTTCGGTGAGTAAATAAGAATCTGTGGTAGCGGGGCCTTCGAGATTTACGTAGTAGTTCGTGGTTTATTTTTTTGAAAATCCGTATTTATTCATTTCAGCCTTGTTTGAGGTGATATTGAAAAAAGAACACTTTCTCATGGCAACTTTTTGCCCTCTATCGAATGGCATAATAAATTTTTATATGTAACGTTTCATCTCTCCAGGACCATCATCAACTTAATTCTTTTTAAAAACGACCCTGGAAATTTTATTACATTTTTTGCAAGCCTTCATGACCTCCAATACTGTATTGCCTCAGCCCGAACCATATTCAGACGTTTTGTCTCAAAAATTTCATCTTCAATGTATTCGTTCCAAATTTATTTAATTATCTATATCCATATCATCTTCAGAAAATACAGGCGTGTTTGGACACCAATGGAGGAAATTTTGAGTAAAGGCTGTAAAAGTCAGATGAGCAAACAAAACATTTACTTATTTTTGTGTATTTCATTTGTCACTATATAATTACTACTGTTTCAGTTTGCTGTTAAATAACTTGTTAGGCACTGTTTCACAGTGTATCATTTTAAAAAAAAAATAAAATTTTCGTTTATATGGGATGGAAGGGCTCTTAAGCGGGTGGTGTAAAAATTTGCTTAAGTAACGCGTGAGATTTTTTAATGTCACACTGTCCAGCGACGGGCTATGAAATTTATGAAAATTATGAAAATAAAAAATCAAAAAAATTCTATGTTCTCGACGGAATTTAAGAAAATAAACTTATATACTTCCAGAAATGAAATGTAGCCTCCCTATAAATGTGACCTCTATTCAACGTCATATTTTGTATAAAAAATTGTATTTCCGTTTATTTATTAAAATTCATATGTTTTACGAAAACAATTTGCTCAATCCGAGGTAAGTGCTTACAAAATAAATGAATGATGGAATACATTATTGTGTTCCTTTCCACTAATTTCTGTCAATTATGCAGTACTAGGAATACTATAATTTGAAAATAATAACTCACCATTTGTGCGGAATGTTTGTGTCAGTGCTCCAGCTGAAAGCAAAAAAAAATTGATTAATTCAATGTAGACAGTAAATTTCTATAAATAAACAAAAATATTGTATATTTAGAAGGGGTAGGCTATTTAACGAATTATGATCAGAGTGGACCATCTGCATCACCATCATTTACATCATCATCATCTACAACACCATCAACTACATTACCATCATCTACTCGTACATTATCAACATGTACATCAGCATCATCTAGATTACCATCATCTACATCACCATTATAGTACAATTAAATAAGCCTTTAAATCGAAATTTTGGTCAACTTGCCTGAATTTTTGATATGAGTTAGTTTGAGGTATATTATAACAATAAGTGACTAATTTTTTGTTCAACCTCCGGCCAAGGGTGAAAAAAGATAAAACAAAGGAGTTTTTCAAGATAACTCAAAAGGAGCAAGGGCTAGAAAAAAAAATTTCATATAAAAGTTATAAAGCATACAATTCTACATAAAAATGGCATATTGACTTTTTCTTGTATTATTAAAATTAACAGAGTTAGGAAGGCTAGAAGTTAAGAAAAGATTTCAGAAATTTAAAAAAATTATAAGCAGAAAAACGAATGAATTTTGTATTTTTTTTCAATCTACTCTAAAAAATGTAAAGAGACACGTATTTTTTTTATTGGTGGAAAAACATATTTACGGGGTGAAATACACCCTCAAAGTTCGCTCCCAAAACAGTTTTTTCAAAATTTCTGGGGTTCTAATCAATATTTTGAAATGAAACAAAATGGAAATTACTTATGATAAAAAACAAATATTTCGCAAGTGATTCCGTGTTTNCGCAAAGTTTTTGGGAGAGGTAAAAAGAAATTTAAAGCTCAACTTAACGTTGCAATAAAAAAAATAACTAAAAGCGATCGTGATCTTCGAATTCGTTTAAAGATGTCTGTAGTTTATCCCCTTTCTAACGGTATGACATAAAAACCTTTTATCAACTTCACTAATTTGAGTAATTTGCTTAATTTGTGTATGGGGACACATCAGGCTGATATTCGATATTCGGGTTCGACCTGCTACTTATGAAATACTTTTTATTCTTGGTGTATTTTATTACATTTAAATGTATAGCCATTGTGGCGCAGCGACATCTATTAAATAGTAGAATTAGAGGTTAATTTAATTGTTTTCCCATGCAGTATCCTTAATTATTTTATGGTCTGTGGTTTCCGAGTGTGTCGTTTGCTGCACCAGCTACAGATGGCGGTACTCTACCGCTGCTGCCGACAAAAGACAGAATAAAACCCTCTTATTTAGTTACTCATATGGTTTATGTGTAATCGTTAACACCAACAACGTTTTCAAAAGCTCCAACTGGAACGGAAAAGCGCAACAAATTATCTACATATGTTCCACGAAAACGATTTGCTCAATCCAGGTAAGTACTGGTGAAATAAATGAATGATGGAACATATTGTGTTCCTATCCAATAATTTCTGTCAATTATGCATTACTAGGAATACTCAAGTTTAAAAATTAACAATAACTCACCTTTTGTGTAGATTGTTTGCGTCACTGGTCCTCCTGAAAGCAAACAAAGAAAGATTGATTAATTCAATGTAGGTAGACAGTAAATTTTTATGAGTAGGCAAAAATATTGCATATTTAGAAGAGCTTGCCTTTAACGGATTATAATCAGAGGGGAGAATTACGGTAATAACATACAGGGTGTCCCAGTGTCAGCGTACAAAAATTTACCAGGGGGTAGACCAGACCAAAATAAGGCTAACATTCTTATAAAATATTTTTCTGCAATGCATTGTCACTGAATTACAGGATGTTGTTTAGAAAAAAATTATAACTTTCCGCAATAACTCAGAAACCCTTTCAGGGATTTTAATAATTTTTGGGTGAAGTGTGCATCTATATGATGCTTATTTCGATCTGACACCAGGGGCGGCCTAGGCCAACTTGTCCTCAAGGTTATGTCTTCATAACTTTTGCATATCCCAGTTCTATGTAATTTGATTAAGTTTTCCTGAATCTGCAATCGATTCTGAATAAATATGAAAAGAGTTTATTTGTTGTTATCTAGTAGTTATTACATTTTCTTCTAAAATGTGTGCATCCTCCAAATTACCTCTTATTCTGGTATTTCCAATTTGAACACTCCCGGTCTCACGGACTCTTTGGAAAACTGTCTGGAATAAGTGCTGCGAAGGTTGCCTTCTGTTTGGAAACCTGCGTAGTTATTCTCGTGAAGCCGAAAATTAATTTCCATCACAGAAACCGCAGTAAAATATCATATCGGCATATTTGTTGTTGGAAAATTCCATAATACTCAATATCTTGTTATTTTATAAATTTAATTTCTCGTAACTTCGAGTACTGTAATTAATTGAAATATGTGTCGTAAGAAGTAAATAGTGAAAACGAACTAAAAATGTCGTGCCTTATTATAAGTGTTCGTCCCTCACCGATAATATGAAAACGTCCAATTTTTGCTCGTACAAACGCACTACGAATACGCAAGTCATAGGAATAAACAAAAAACGTAATCATAATAATAATTTGACACTTCGGTGAGTAAATAAGAATCTGTGGTAGCGGGGCCTTCGAGATTTACGTAGTAGTTCGTGGTTTATTTTTTTGAAAATCCGTATTTATTCATTTCAGCCTTGTTTGAGGTGATATTGAAAAAAGAACACTTTCTCATGGCAACTTTTTGCCCTCTATCGAATGGCATAATAAATTTTTATATGTAACGTTTCATCTCTCCAGGACCATCATCAACTTAATTCTTTTTAAAAACGACCCTGGAAATTTTATTACATTTTTTGCAAGCCTTCATGACCTCCAATACTGTATTGCCTCAGCCCGAACCATATTCAGACGTTTTGTCTCAAAAATTTCATCTTCAATGTATTCGTTCCAAATTTATTTAATTATCTATATCCATATCATCTTCAGAAAATACAGGCGTGTTTGGACACCAATGGAGGAAATTTTGAGTAAAGGCTGTAAAAGTCAGATGAGCAAACAAAACATTTACTTATTTTTGTGTATTTCATTTGTCACTATATAATTACTACTGTTTCAGTTTGCTGTTAAATAACTTGTTAGGCACTGTTTCACAGTGTATCATTTTAAAAAAAAAATAAAATTTTCGTTTATATGGGATGGAAGGGCTCTTAAGCGGGTGGTGTAAAAATTTGCTTAAGTAACGCGTGAGATTTTTTAATGTCACACTGTCCAGCGACGGGCTATGAAATTTATGAAAATTATGAAAATAAAAAATCAAAAAAATTCTATGTTCTCGACGGAATTTAAGAAAATAAACTTATATACTTCCAGAAATGAAATGTAGCCTCCCTATAAATGTGACCTCTATTCAACGTCATATTTTGTATAAAAAATTGTATTTCCGTTTATTTATTAAAATTCATATGTTTTACGAAAACAATTTGCTCAATCCGAGGTAAGTGCTTACAAAATAAATGAATGATGGAATACATTATTGTGTTCCTTTCCACTAATTTCTGTCAATTATGCAGTACTAGGAATACTATAATTTGAAAATAATAACTCACCATTTGTGCGGAATGTTTGTGTCAGTGCTCCAGCTGAAAGCAAAAAAAAATTGATTAATTCAATGTAGACAGTAAATTTCTATAAATAAACAAAAATATTGTATATTTAGAAGGGGTAGGCTATTTAACGAATTATGATCAGAGTGGACCATCTCCATCACCATCATTTACATCATCATCTACAACACCATCAACTACATTACCATCATCTACTCGTACATTATCAACATGTACATCAGCATCGTCTAGATTACCATCATCTACATCACCATTATAGTCCAATTAAATAAGCCTTTAAATCGAAATTTTGGTCAACTTGCCTGAAATTTTGATATGTATTAGTTTGAGGTATATTATAACAATAAGTGACAGTAATTTTTTGTTCAACCCCCGGCCCAGGGTGAAAAAAGATAAAACAAAGGAGTTTTTCGAGATAACTCAAAAGGGGCAAGGGCTAGAAAAAAAGTTTCATATAAAAGTTGTAAAGCATACAATTCTACATAAAAATGGCATATTGACTTTTTCTTGTATTATTAAAATTAACAGAGTTAGGGAGGCTAGAAGTTAAGAAAAGATTTCAAAAATTTAAAAAAATCATAAGCAGAAAAATACTTCGCAAGTAATTCCGTGTTTGGGGTTTCAGAAAAACTATATTTTTTATTTATAAAAATATCATATTTACTCAAAAAGAATTAAAAATATGATTTATGTAAACAAATTGACAAAATTAAATTGACCTGTTTTGAGGTTTTCGTTAAAATCTCTGTTTAGGGGGGTGAACAACAAATTTGAAATTGTTATAACTTTCTTATTAAAAATTAAAAAATATATCTATTTTTCTGAAGAGAAAGGTAACATTTTTTAGAGTAGATCGAAAAATAATTACAAAATTCATTCATTTTTCTGCTTACGATTTTTTTAAATTTCTGAAATCTTCCCTTAACTTCTAGCCTCCCTAACTCTGTTAATTTTAATAATACAAGAAAAAGTCAAGTGGCCATTTTTATGTAGAATTGTATGTTTTACAACTTTTATACGAAACTTTTTTCTAGCCCTTACCCGTTTTAAGTTATCTTGAAAAACCCCTTTGTTTTATCTTTTTTCACCCTTGGCCGGGGGTTAAACAAAAAATTACTCTCACTTATTGATATAACATTCCTCAAACTAACATATCAAAAATTCAGGCAAGTTGACCAAAATTTCGATTTAAAGGCTTATTTAATTGGACTATTATGCACATCAATATCGTATACATCACCATCATCTACATCATCTACATCATTGTTTTTGAAATATTCTACATAGAAAGTTTCAAAAAGGCATCTGGTTAGTAAATATAAAAATTTTCACCAATAGACTTCGATCAATAAAGCAGAAAATGTAAAAATGATTAAGAATAATCTAGTCACGGTTCTGTTCTGGATCAATTTTATAGGACATTCAGTATACTATAAAGATTCAAGAAACATCTTATAAAATTGTTCATCAAAAGTCCTCAATCAATAAAGTAGAAAAAAATAAAAAGAATATGAATGTGCAATTCTGACCTGAGTGGAACATTCAGTATAAAGTTTCAAAAAAGAATCTGATTATAAAATAATTTCATCCACAGACTTCAGTATACATAAGGTAGAAAAGGTAAAAAGAATAAGGAAACTCGCTCTGTCCGTACTTCTGATCTGGATCATTTTGTGGAATATCCAGTATAAAGTTTCAAAAAGGTATCTGGTTAGTAAATATAAAATTTTTCATCAAATGACTTCAGTAAATAAAGAAATAGTTAAAAAAGAAAAAGGAAAAGTCTAACTTGATTCAGATCTGGGTCAATTTTGTGGAACATCCAGTACATAGATTTCCAAAAAAGCGACTGATCAGTAAATATACAACTTTTCTTCAAAAGTTTTCAATAAATAAAGTAGAATAAAAGCCTAGTCCACCTGTTGTGTCAGTTTTATGAAACATCCAGTACATAAATTGATAAAAACATCTGGTTAGTAAAATATAAAATTTTTCATAAAAACTTTGTAAACAATAAATTTTTGAAATATACAGAAATCCCTGTACCATTCAAGCTTCAACCCAATTTAAAATATCTATTTGAAAATTTCTATTTTTTTCTTGTAAAAAGGTTTGAAACTATTTGAAATTAAGAACTGAAATTTGGAACGATATTTAGACTGCTGAGGCTTCTTCTAAACAAGTATTTTTTATTGTCCTCGGAAAGCAAATTTCGGCGGTAAAAAGTACCCTTCGAAAATGTCCCGTTGGTTGGGACGAAGAAAGAACGAAACTCGCACGTAGCGGAGCGAATCCCCGATCGGTCCCCGCAGAAAACCCTCAAAACGTCCGTTGGTAAGCGTACGAAAATTTGCGTTTTTGGCCGAGAAGCCCCCAGTAAACTGAAATTTTACTCGGAAGAACTTAAGAAATCGCCTTCAAAATATGTCTAACGGACAAAGGAAGAAAGATTTACCAACACGTATAGAATTCTGCGAAATAAATGATCGCTGGAATACATTATTGTGTTCCTTTCCAATAATTTCTCTCAATTATGCAGGACTAGGAATACTAAAGTTTAAAAATTAACAATAACTCACTTCCTGTATAGATTTTTTGATCCACTGCTCCTCCTGAAAGCAAAAAAAGAAAGATTAATTAATACAGTATAAACAGTAAATTTTTATAAGTAGGCAAAAATATTGCATATTTATAAGAGGTATAAACAGGCTATTTAACAGATTATTATCAGTGAAGAAAATTTCGGTAACAATACAAAACTACAATTCACACTAAGTGTAATTACAAATTGGCTTTTATATTCACAAAAAAATTAAATTAATTAAGAAAAACTACGCCATTAAACTCTGTTTGGAAATGAAAGAGAGTAATAAAACCCCGAGATAAGAACCGGCCATGGGCGTGGTAATATTTCGTTTCAGGTAATTATCGGGTAACACTAATGCTAACAAAAATGACAGGGATTGGAAAATCGACTTTTAAAGGAAACAAAAAATGAGCAAGATACTGTAAATCCCCCAAAATCATCTACAGGGAGGTCAAAAGTCGTTATAGATGATTTCTTCAAAAATGTCATTCGCAGAAAAGTACACTCATTTTATTTTAAAAAAGAAATACCAACGCTAAACAAAATTTTAAGTGAACTTTCAGAGGACAACGATTTGCCAAAAATCAGTAGAAGCAAATTATGGGCCGTCTTACGAGAGTTGAATTTTTGCTGGGAAAAGCAGAACAGGAAGTCAGTTCTTATCGATAAAGATGAAATTATTTGTTGGCGAAGATCCTACTTAAGATCAATTAGAAAATTCCGTGACGAAGGGAGGAATATTTATTATCTAGACGAAACTTGGGTCAACGAGGGATATACTGTAACAAAAGTATGGCAAGATAAAAATGTAAAAAGTTTTCGACAAGCATTTTTGGATGGACTTTCAACAGGGTTCAAGGCACCTTCAGGTAAAGGGCGAAGATTAATAGTGACACATATAGGTAGTGCCAGTGGTTTTGTAGATGGCGGTTTACTTTTATTTGAATCTAAAAATACAGGTGACTATCACGAAGACATGAACGCAGATGTTTTCGAAGAGTATTTTACACAGATGTTGGATCTTATTCCTCCGGGGTCTGTAATTGTCATGGATAATGCCAGTTACCATTCACGGCAGACCGAGCGGACGCCTACGACTGCTTGGAGGAAAGCCGATATAATTCAATGGTTATCCGGAAAAAACATTTCTTTTGAAACAAATATGGTGAAAAAGGAACTTTTGACACTTGTCAATCTTAATAAAGATCAGAAAAAATATGTTATCGATGAAATGGCAACAAATCGCCAAATAACGGTACTACGGTTACCACCTTATCACTGTGAACTTAACCCAATCGAATTAGTCTGGGCGCAGGTAAAAGGAGATGTAGCGCGAAATAATACGACGTTTAAATTAAGTGACGTGAAAATTTTGTTAAAAAATTCCTTGGAACGAGTAACTGCAGATAACTGGCAAAGATGTATACATCATGTACAAAAAGAAGAGGAGAAAATGTGGGAACTCGATAATTTAATTGACGTTACTGTGGAACCTATCGTTATCAATCTAGGAGACGAAGATAATTCATCAGAATATTCAGAGGATGAATTTTAATATACCTACTTTTTTATTTTCTTTATTGTACATTTATACAACACTACATTTACTCACCATAATTTGAATTTTCAAAATACATATATTTTTGTGTGGAATAAAAGTCTATTCATTAAATTTAAATAAATATTTTGATAATAATATTGAATAATTTTATTTGAATTACTAAAAACCCTCTTAACCCGGTTATGATGCTTAAAGTAGCCTCATGTTTTGAAATGCTGTTTTTATATTGTTTACTTATAAGAGAAATGGACCGAGAAATTGAAGCGGCATAGACAAAGACGGATTGTCGGGGATTAAATTTTAGCTACCTGCTACAATTTAGTACAGTCCGATCGCACAAAGTTTTGTTAAAAGTAGACCTCATCTATACCGAAACTACATAATATAAAAATATTGAATATAAGCACCATTTACGATTTGCATACATAATAAGCATTTATTACTCTCTTTCATTTCTAAACAGACTATAGTAACCTTTATTTTGAAAAATATATTAACAGAACTGCATTACACTATTCGTATACTGTCTGTCAAAGAATGAGCCTTTTATACCTAGATTCTAAGATGAAATTAATGGCAGAAGTTCTGATAAAAAGACACTAACAGGCGCTTTACTGTCAAGATACGGGGTGTTGAATTATAAAAAATTGAACTTAGTTTTAACCAAAATATATCTATATAACTATATAATAGCAGTTGTTTTCTAATTTTACATGACGAATAACATCCTGATCATTAGGTGTAGTTTGAGTTGATTTAAAAATCTAGTGGCGTGCAGTAGTTATTACAGAGAACCTTTTGCGAAATAAATGATACGCCACTGACTAAAATAAAAAAAAGGTGACATATTTAGAATCCCCAGACATTTTACAAGCAAAATATGTATACTAGTTTCATGTCCTTAAAATGCATTTGCAAGAAAAACTGATTCTGATGTTCTACGGAAGGGGTTTGCTTATTCCCAGGTAACTGCTTATGAAATAAATGAATGTTGGAACACATTATTTCCAATAATTTTAATCAATTATGCAGTGCTAGGATAACTAAAGTTTAAAAATTAATAAAATAACTCACCATATGTGTCGAATGTTTGTGTCAATGCTCCTCCTGAAAGCGAAAAAGAAAGATGATTAATTCAATATAGACAGTACATTTTTCTAAGCAGCAAATATATTACATATTTAGAAGAGGTGGGCTATTTAACGGATTATAATCAGAGAAGAGAATTTCGGTAACAATACAGAACTATAATTCATACTAAGCGAATACTAATTACGAATTGAAAAATATAATCAAATAAAACGTAATCATAATAATAATTTGACAATTCGGTTAGTAAATAAGACGCCGAGGTAACGGGGTCATCAAGATTTAAGTCATAGTTCCTGGTTTGTTTCGTTCGTCAGTTCATCTCACACATTAATATACTAAATATAAAGAAACATTTATCTTTTATTTTAAATAGCTTCAATAAGTAAGCAACAGAAAATTAAAATATGCCAAGATTATTTGATTAAACAGTAAGAGATCTTCAGGTCTTATACAAGAAAAAAATTGATAATTTTTTCAAAATTTTGATTTTTTTTTCGATATTTGATTGAAGTGAAATTGTGAGAAAAAAAAACGCAAAAAAAAGTTTCATCCTAATCATCATTGACTGATGTCTGGGGAACAATAAACCTACTCCTTTAATTTTTTATAAAACTTTGACGATTCAGGAAAAGACCGATAGATTTCAAAGTTAACAGGCTTCATGGGCATAAATTGAGCAAAAAAAAATATTTTTCTGAAACATAACAAAAGGCCCTTGAAGAGGATTGATTCAAAACCCACCTTCCGTTCGCTGTACGATCAGTTCATGATGAGTTATCGATGATAAAAAAGAAAGAAAATAAAAAAACCAAACTGAACCGGAAAATCAGGCTATATGACCCTGATATTGATTAAGCCCATGGGTAGTCTTGAAAAAAAAATTTGTAAAATATTTGCCTTGCATTTTTTCCTTCGATTGCTCCGAAAGTGATACTAAAAAAATTTTTTTCGTCTCAACATTAGCTTCAAGATGCTTTTTTGTTTTTGTCTATACGACCATTATTCATAAAGTTGCAGCCTTTCAAAAATTACTTAAAAAATTAAAAAATTTTTCTGTTCCATTAATTTTTTTGTTGGGTTTATATACAAGGTGTTCCGTTTAAAATTCCCCAGCTGGATATCAAAAGAACCGCAACGAAGCAAATGCGTTGATAAAGACAAAAAGGTTTTATGATCGGGATGTCGACGGTTTGGGTAACGTACCTGATAAAGTCTTTTGATTCTCTTGAATTTCTACGGCATTCATCAAATATTAAAATTATGTCGAGCTTTTCTTCATTCGTGTACTGGACCATACTGAATGAATTTCAAATGTGTCAAAGTTGAAGGTGTAGACTTGTAGTTATGGTAATAGTAGTATGTAATCAATTTTGACACTTCAAGAAAACAAAAAAAAGGTTCAAGAAAACGACCAGTTTTTAAATACCATTATATGGACTAACTATGGATATTATTTGTAATTTTTGTTAATTTTGCATCAGTTTTTGTTAAATAAATATTACTTTACCTTGATCGAAAAGACTATGATTTGCGTAAACAAGATTAAATGAAGTAATTTCCTGTGATATCTATTAGTTAAATAAAATTAATTCATCACTGTTTTATTCAAAGCAATCTAATACGACGAAAATCTGCAGTAGTTATGCCTGAAAACTTAACTTTAAAAAATCTTCCTCCTGGAAAAAAAATTACCTCAAATCCAAGTATCTCGGAAACTAGTGGCTTTTCGAAAATTGTTTATATCACAAAAGTTGCTTATAATTTAGAGATCTTTCATGTGCGCCACTTTTCAAAACTGCTGTCAACAAAATATGTTTTCGGATTGCAGCGACATCTATACCTGCACTGAGAGGAACGGGATTTGTACTCACAAGTAAAGCTATTTATTGAAACTATACAGTGGATTTTTCAGAAATCATCTATCTTTTTCCGTTTTCGAGATATCCAGCTGGGGAGTTTTAAACGGCACACCTTGTATATATTTGTTTTTAATTGGTTATGGATATCTTTCAAAAGTATCTATTTTTATAACGTTACAATTCAAGATTATGTTGCTTTAATTGTGTAATACATATGTATTTCACAATTAAAGCAACATAATCTTAAATAATAATATATGCATTATTCCAGAGTACGAATAAGCAAGTCGTAGGAATCAACCAATGTCCCAATTACAGGACAAAAAAGTATAGACGTTCAAGTACAAAACACTAAAAATATAAAAAATCATAGTTCTAAATAAATATAAATAGATATACAGTGTAACTAAATAAGTGTAAAACATTTAAGGGGGTAATTCCTCATCGAAAAAACATAGGATCTTTCATATAAAGAAACTTCATTGGAGCATCCCTTGTTAAGATAAAGCCCCTTTCACAAGCACTAAACAAGTTACAATATTGAAATTAACCTGACATTTTCTACTACCAAAAAGACACTTAGCCAGTGATTTATTTGGTTTACCCCATGGTTGTAAGGGGTGGAAAACGCAACCCCTAAAATTTATTTCCAACGTAACTTTTTGTCTTATTATTTGTTTACCATTTAAAAATTTATTTCCGATAGCCTGTTTCATTCTAAAAAAAAATGTCTCTTGAATTTTTTGCCCAAATTAAACCAGTTCGCAGTAAAAAATTATTTTACGAACAACTACAGAGATACATCGTCATAAATGCGGACTGGATTTACTGTTATTTTGTAGTTACTACCTGCATTAAATGATTAAAGGGGAATAATCAAAACTAATTTATTAATAACAAAACATACAACATGTAGAAATCATAGTAAATGTTCAATATGTCTACCTTCAGACATTACGCATGCGTCTAGACGTCGGCGCATTGAGCCACGTATTCGCTCAAATATTCCTGGAGTCTCTCTAATTACCCTGCACGCATCGATAATGCGGTTTCTTAAGTCCTCTACATCGCGAACAGGAGTACGATAAACCAAA